CACACACACACACACACACACACATGCTTGTCAATCAAACCTGCCGCAGACATAAGCGATGTTTGAAGGGGGAGCTATAGGGGCCTACATCAAAATATACACTTGTTTACACTCATTTTGAAAAATTATATAGCCATATATATAATATATTATTTGTAGATGCAGAGGTAGGGCCTACAGGCAACACTCATCCATCACCAGACTTTCTTCAACGAAACTGCTTAATCTACGGGCACACACCGGGGTTCGTTGCGGAGTTGACTCCAAATTCCATGAATCTTTTATTTAAAATTGAAAGTTTCCGAGCAGAGGGGTGGGGGATGGTAGGCCTACTGTGTGTGTGTGTGTGTGTGTGAGAGAGAGAGAGATGATGATGATGATGATGATAATGGAGGGGTGACATTACATGTTGATGAACTCCATTCATGTTTTCAAAGGAAAAGCTCAGATCTGGTACGTACGAAAGTGAAACTAGCGGCGTAGGCCCTACAACCAAAACTAAACCCAGAGACTATCTGTAATCATACTCCTTCATCTACAACCCCCACCAGTAAATGATGTGCGTTTTCCCTCATCTGATATATGATAGTTAACTCCTAAAGTTGTAGACTTAGAAAGCCGATGTTTTAAGGGTGGAGATAATGGCGTATCATAATTTTGTAGAATGACGGACTCAACACAAGAAAAGATTATAGCCTATAGCGTGAATTTTGATACTGTGTGTAGCCTACCAAATGAAGCCAACAATATAATGCTAGTTACCTCAAGTCTACTTTGCAGTTCATCTGACTTCCTGTGGCTTTTTCCGCCGAAAATGTTGGGCAAACCGAACAAAGAGGACATGTCTTGCTTTGCAAATGTCTACTCAGAGTTCATGTCACATGATTGGGAATCCCCTTTTCGTTTGAACTTTGACCACAATTATCGAATGGCCTATTTAGCTAAAACTAGGACGTCAAATGACAATTAATGCGTTGCTGTAGCTACAGGTTGGGATATTCTTGTTTTCGCCCAATACTTCTACATAACATGATATAAATTGATTATACCAAGAATGTATTCTTGCTCTCACTGTAAAGGTTAAGTCTGAACCAAGGGAAATAGTTATCTTCTTCTCCGGCAGGTGGCACTTTGTCCCTTGACTCGTCTCGTTGCGTGTTGTAAAGATGGCAATATTGAACGGGAGATTGCAAAATATGGGGACAAGCCAAAATAAAATCTGCCGAAATTGATGACAGAAGCTGGGGCGTCAAATGCTAATTAATGCGTTACTGTAGCTATAAGTTTGGGTATCCCTGCTTTGCCTAAAACTTCTACATAACATGACATAAATTGATTACACAAAGAATGAATTCTTGCTCTCACTGTTCTGGTTATTTAAGCTGACCCAGGGAGGTAGTTATCCTCTTATCCGGCAGGGGGCAGTCTGTGTCGTCACTTCTCAACCTCTGACTATACAAGACAATACAATAATTTTTTTGTCGGAAAATTGGCTTTGCAGCTTTTCACCGACTGGGTAGGACAAACATTTCTACAAATAATGCAATATTTACACATGAGGTATAGTAAGACAATAAATGGAAAATCTTTCTACGAAAAATACACTAATACATGTACACATAAGGTCTACTAAGATAGTAAATTTAAAATCTTTCTATGAAAAATATACAAAATGCTAGACCTACATGTAATTAATTGTGAAAAATAACTTATTTCTACATACAATGCTTATTGATATAGATGCATTAAATAATGTAAACATGTTGTATTATTACACAGTTTCGCCAAATGCATATAGGTTACACTAGCCACATTTGCATTTGAGTCCTTCCCAAAGCATTAAAAGTGATTTATAAACTCATTTGAAAATGATGCTTCGTTTAATTCGTCTGACAGATCATTTCATATTTTGGGCCTACGATATAACAACGATTTTTGCCATATGCCATATGTAATTGTAAATCCGGTAATGTTTAATCTCCCCCCACCCCCAAGGTTGTAGTTTGTTACACCAATGTTCCATTGTTCCATTGAAGGATAATTGCTCATTACTATGTTCGTCTGCTGTTTTGCCAATGAAAATAGCTTGAAATTTTTCAGGGTTTGTTTCCATCTCATTTGAAGAGAACCAGTTTATAGCATACTGCGCATCATATTCAAGCTCTCTTTTTAAGGTAAGGAAGTCTGGGTGTGCGGCACTTAAGGTGTTATCATCTGCGTAGTTGTAGAGGTTACAGTTTTCAATGGAAAGATATCATTTATATTATGAATATGTTGAACAGCAGGGGACCAATGATGGAACCTTGAGGAACACCTTTTTGTAAACTCTGACTACATGCAGACCTCGCGAGTTGTAACGATGGCAATATTAAACGGGCGATAGCAAAATATGGGGACAATCGAAAATAAAATCTGCCAAAATTGGGCTTATAGTTCTTTCATAAGGCCACACTTTTTTATTTTTATGGATGACATCCTGCGCGCGCACCGATTTTCGCCCGTTCTCCAAACCCCCCCCCCCCAGCCCCCCAACGAAGTCAGTTGTCGCAAACGTCGTTATTGAATTTGCGCATGCGTATTATCGCCACGTGGAAATACGGCCGCTTTGCCGTCAAATTCATCTCTAGGATTACTTTCAAATTACACAACAATAAAAGTCATAAAGAGAACAGGCGCCGTCGTTTTGGATTGGTATGCCATTGATATTGGGCATGGAGATATCACCTTTTTACAATTGTGCGAAAGGCTGGCGGCGGCCGAAACATTTCTGTGACATTCTGTTTAAAGCAGCACATTAATACCAGGTTTTCTGTAGCGAAAAAAGGGTCGACAAGGGGCGTCGAGGTATTTGGTGGGCTGAAGGTCGGACAGGCCACCTGACAGTTTAGCTGCTTCGTGTGAGTTGAAGTTGACAAAATGGCATCGTCTGAAATGACCTTTAATAGATTTGGTAGTATTAAGCATATCTTTGCATCATTTTTTAAACATTTCTGTGAAGTGTTCAAAATGTTTTAATATTCTGAGAATACAAATAAAGACACACTGTTTGATTGATATTTGTTTTATTGATTGCTATACCAACTGAATGCACGAAATAACCTTAAATAGATTTGGTAATATGAAGTATATCTATTCATGACTTTTTTTTTACATTTCTACGAAGTATTCACAATGCTTTAATATTTTGAGAGCATGGATTAAGACATATTGTTAGTTTGATACGTGTTTCTGTGGTAAAATTTGTTTCCAGCTGTGTACTGACAGCATTCCTTTACTTAAGCAGTATTTTTTTTTTTTTTGGACAGTTTTTTTTTTCGCCCTCTCGCACCGATTTTGGGGTACCCAGAGGATGTCATCCATAAAAATAAAAAAGTGTGGCCTAATGTCTACGACATCTACATACACACTACACTGACACTACTTGTGGGGCCTGTCAACAAAAAAAGTCTACCTTGGACTCTGTGGCCTCAATGGCCTGTTACCAGGCTATATATGATAGTATGATCCCTTAAGTGCCGGAAATTTGATTACGAATTTTTTTTTTCAAATAAAAAATTCAGTACATGTGACGGATTGTCCGTCAATGTTAGGATCATATCATGGACAAATTTTGATGGATAACGAAAACGGGTGGTTATGCGTTACTTTCGTGTCTGTATTCAATTTAGTGCAAAGTATTATCTAATAATAATATTATAATAATAAATTTATTTTGAGTCTAAAATCCATTATAACATGTTCAAAATACTTAACATATACGTAAAACAATTACTTAAGACATTAATTATTAGGAATAGATAAATGAAAAATTACAGAGCGTAAGAGTATTCTAGATAAAACATACTGATTCTCACATAAAAGCACTTACAATAAATAAGTAAAATATTTTTGTAAAAATAATCAATTCTAGATTTAAAAAAACACAGCCTTATTTGCACACCGAAAAGATTATAGGTAGAACAGCCTTATTTCTTACAGTGCAAAAATGCAATTACTATAAAATTTGTAAATTCAATTTAAAAGTCGATTAATCTCCCATACACGTGAACTATACATATTGTTCGGGAATTAATATCTGAAATACAGTCTGCTTTTTATAAAACTACAATGTGTACAGAAATCCTGTCATCTGAGCGTGTAATCACAGATGTTATGACCCAATCCTGTTTCGTATCCTCCAGACTCGCACGCAACGACACCACAGCTAGCGTGTAGTTTCGTTTTCCCATTCAGGTTCGGCCCAAGGACTTAGCGTAAAGAGTGGAGATTTTCATTGAAAACGTTATGACCGGGTCACATGAATGTTTAATGAGACTAATTAAATTAGCTATACCCGGTCCCCACTTTTTATTGTGTAATTCACGAAAAACGACTTCATGTCATCGCTGTTTTACCGCCGGTTCAGGATCGCAGCGAGTTTTTCCAACTTTGTGAAGTTAAGTGTTCTCTCCCCTTATAGTTTTTTATGTGTTTAAAGTTACATTTTCCAAACTGTATTGAAATGAAGCAAAATACGGTGTATATTATAAACGGAGAGCGTGCACACAAGAGACGATTTCTGGTCATCGCTGTTTAACCGCCGATTAAGGATCGCATCGTGCTTTCCCAACTCTGTGAAGTATAGCCTACTTTTCCCTGATAATGTGTTTAAAGTTACGTTTTACAAAATTTATGAATATAAATCAAAATACAATGCATACTCTAAGCGGAAAGCGTGCTCCCAAGATCGTCGTAATGTCCCAATGTTGTTACCCAGTATCGTGGACGTGCAGATATATATATTATTCGGATTTTCCTCATCTTTCCACAACACAATATCGAAAATGCATATACGTGACAACTTTTATTTTATTTTGAACATATTTATTGCACATTTATCATTAACAAAATCAATTATTTAGCACAAACAAAGCGATACTTAGCATTCATCATCATAACATCATAACATTCCTCCGCTCTGGTTAATTTGTGGGTTTTGTCGTTAATACGGGTGTTAGTGTTAAAAGATCTGCTGATAGTGTTAGTAAACACCTAATACGTTTATAAGGCCTATAATTACAACGATTCATTGAAAATAAGTATTATTTTGCCTTTTTAAACTATTAATTCTGAACTAATGCTTTAAGTAAATCGCCGACAAACATTTGAAGTTCTCATTGGTTTTATTCAATTGCCGTGGAAAGTGTGTTCGTGGGTACTCAGGTAGGGAAAAATTTGAGAAATCGTTTATGCAATTTTTACCCCAAAAAATTGCAATTGTAATGCCATCGGTAAAATGACATTTGTGAAAACTTGGGAACACCGACGATTTATCGATTATCGTAAACCTGCCTAAAGGCAGCAATTTAGGAGTTTTTGCCTAACTCTGTCCGTAACCTTAAGACAGGACGCACTTTATTCATATTTATATTCATACAACATAAGAAACTGCAAATTAATAGTGGCCAAAGTTATTAACACTGTCTTTCAAAAAAGCTTTCAGATGTATCTATATTTAGCTGGTTTCATCATATCCTAATACGTCGACCTACAGTTTTGCTAATATGGATTTCCATATTCATATGGCGTTGTGACGGTACATGTACCACTGCGAGGCCCTTGCTCCTTGGCGCGACTTTCCAAATATTTCACCAGCTTTTCTAGGGCTTCCTCGTTAACGGGGGACGAATACAGACCGGCTGACTCCCAGAACACCATGTCCAGAACAAGCTTAACCCTCCCCAGTCTTGTTAGGGACAGAGTGGAGTCGGTGGGGTTGCCGACGTCGGCATGAGGGGCCACGTGATGGAAAACTATCAAGACAATGGCGCTTGTGTCAGCTGAAACAATGAGTTCATATAACTTTTTTATCATTTAAGTTATTCATATTAGCCCACACGCATTAAAATATCTTTTTCTAGAAGAGACAGAATGTTATAGATATTGTTTATCAATTTTTGCAACCAGAGCATAGCACGCATGGTACCAAGAATTATTCGTCGACAAGCCCAAAATAGTTTATTTAGTGTTATATTTTTATTTTACCCTGTCTCACCTATGCTGAATTCTTTTAAAGATTGGTTTACGTCTGTTCCGAGACTGGAAGAGTGCAGGCAGAAAACCAGGACTGGACTGTCTCCGCACTGCGCCCCCTGGTGCCACGGATTAGAGTGAAGGTCCACCCTGTTTTTCTGGTGTAAGTTTTCCTTCACTTGGGCCATGAGTTGTTTGCGGGCAGATATCACTGCGTCTGGGACAGGATATTTTTCATAACAAAGCACTGCAACGGGAAAAAGCGTTGGTTATTATAAACAAGCCATTAACACTGTCTTTCAAAAAAGCGAGCTTTCAGATGTATCTACATTTGGTTGGTTTTATCGAATCCCAATAGTTCGAATTATGTCAGTTTTGCTAATTGTAAGTTTCGATATTCATATTACGTTGTGACGGTACATGTACCACTGCGAGGTCTTTGCTCCTTGGTGCGACTTTCCAAATATTTCACCAGCTCTTCTAGGGCTCTCTCATTAACGGGGGACGAATACAGACCCAAGGACTCCCAGAACACCATGTCCAGAACAAGATTAACCCTCCCCAGTCTTGTTAGGGACAGAATGGAGTCGGTGGGGTTGCCGAAGTCGGCATGAGGGACCACGTGGTGGAAAACTATCAGGATAATGGCCCTTGAGTCAGCTGAAACAATAAATACATATAACTTTTTTTAAACACTTATCATTTAGGTTATTCAATTTTTGCATTAAAGGCATAGCACGCATGGCACCAGGAATTATTCGCCGACAAGCATAAACTAGTTTATTCAGTGTTACATTTTCATTTTACCCTGTCTCACCTCTGCTGAATTCTTTTAAAGATTGGTCTACGTCTGTTCCAAGACGAGATAAGTGTAGGCAGAAAACCAGGACGGGACTGTCTCCGCACTGCGCCCCCTGGTGCCACGGTTCAGAGTGAAGGTCCACCCTGTATTTCTGGTGTAAGTTCTCCTTCACTCGGGTCATGAGTTGTTGGCTGGTGGATATCACTGCGTCTGTGTCAGGACATTTTTCAAAATAATGCACTGCAAAGAGAAAAGGCGTTCGTTTCTGTAAACGCAAAAACCAGTACAAGTACCACTGAAAAAAAATACCGCAATGTAAGAACAATTCAGTCACAACAGTTCTAATTCATGTTGTCATCAAATGCTAATCTACTTGCGAAATTAAAACTGATCTTAATATTCCTTTTCTAATGACTGACTTTGTACACTACCTTTCTTGCATGGTGGTGTCTGCTGTCTAAGTGGCTGACGGTGACTGGGAGTATAATCGTGGTTCCAATAAGGAGCTGTCCATCTACTTCCGCACTTGCACTTCTGTAATAATTCCTCTTTTTCTTTCTTCAGCGTTTTGATTTGGTTTTGCTGACTTTCAATCAGCTCCTTCTGCAGATCAACCACTTCCCATACTTCTGATTGGTAATTTTTTATTTCCTTCTCTATCTTCTCTATCTTGGTCTTCTTTTTCTCGAGCTCCTACAATGTAGCCTATGTATACACATTGTTGTATACCTTCTTTATTTACTGGGCCTCGTATCTACATGTATGTTTTATCATCACAGAGGCCTAGTTCTATTCAGTAGTAACTTTTCACATCAGTTATATATATATATATATATATATATATATATATATATATATATATATATATATATTTGTAGATGCAGAGGTACAGCTAGGCAACACTCCTCCATCACCAGATTTCTTCTAACGAAACTGTTTAATTTATGGGCACACACACACGTTGCGGAGGTGACGCTCAAATTCCATAAATCTATTATTTAAAATTGGAAGTTTCCGAACAGAGGGGTGGGGCTGGTGGCACTGTGTGTGTGTGTGTGTGTGAGAGAGAGAGAGAGGGAGATGATGATGATGAAGGGGTGACATTACATGTTGTTGAACTCCATTCATGTTTACAAAGGAAGTTCAGATCAGGCAGTACGAAAGCGAAACTAGCGGTGTACAACCCATATTAAATCTTGATATTATCTGTAATCATACTCCTTCATCTACAAACCCCACCAGACAACGTGGGAGTTTTCCCTAACTGATATATAATAGGTAACTCTTATAGTTGTAGAGTTGAGTATGCTGATGTGGTTATTGAAGGAGGAGGTAGGCCTAATAGCGCAACATCTAACTGCGGAATGACGCCGTCTCCTAAGATCTCCTCACTCTCTAACAGAAAAAATCATCGTGAATTTTGAAATTTTATGTGGCCTACCAAAGTTTAGCATACAAAACTAGCGTAAGATACCTCAAGTTTCTTTTGCACCTCCTCCTCTGGACTTTTCCTTCTCATCCAGTTTAATGGGTTAAAATTGGACATGTCTGCTTCGCAAATGTCTACTCGACTTTCTAGTCACATGCTTGGGAATCCCCTTTTCGTTTGAACTTTGACCCCAATTATCGGATGGCCTATTTAGCTAAAACTATGTCAAATGATAATTAGTGCGTTACTGCAGCTATAGGATGAGGTATTCTTGCCTTCGCAACATAACATAAACTGATTATACCATATCGGTATATACCAAGAATATATTCTTGCTCTCACTGCAAAGGATAAGTCTGAACCAAGGTAAGTAGTAATCCTCTTTTCCGGCAGGTGGCACAGATGACAATATTGAACGGGAGATGGCAAAATATGGGGACAATCGAAAATAAAATCTGCCCAAATTGGGCCTTTTAGTTATTTCCTAACACAATATGCCTACAATATCTACAGACACACTACACTGACACTACTTGCAGGGCCTGTCAACAAAAACTGTAATCATCCGGGTGATTTCTTGTAATCATCCATAAAACACTGATGTTTGCTTTTTCCGAGTTTGTCGAAAACATTCCGAATATAGCAGGACTTTTCATATGTTTGACTCTGAATGTCGATTATGTAAAATATATTGGTTTAGTAACTGATGCCCTTACTTTTTAAATGAGTTTCTTTCGTTTTGGGGCTTCTAAACCTTTAAAAACCTTTTTGAGAGGACAAAATTAACACTATTATTCCATAAGAGTTTTTGTTACTTATCCGAAAAATTATTTTCGATACTTTAAAATAAAGCTTTGTCCCCAAGTGATATTTTCTATGCCTACACATCTTGCAAAGTTACTTATCTTCCCAATTTATTTTAAAAAAGATAAAAACCCTTTTATAAACGTGCATGATATCAATATTTCCCCTAAAACGTACAGGACGATATGGCGGCTTAAATGTCTGACCAGAAATTTAAAACTAAAATATTTAATTAGAATTGGTATAAAAGATCGAACCCAAGTGCTGGACGGATGAAGCATTAGTTACTGAGTGGGAAAATTTGCTTTTTACCTCGAGGATATTTCAATTTGGCGCGTCCTGCATAAAATATAAAATGATATAAAATGATCGACCCGGGAAAAACTGATTTTAATGGTATTGTTGAACTTATGTTTTAAAGCACTGATACGCTCATTTAGCTGAGAGTTAACTGATCACAGTTTTAATTCCATCCTGAATATTTAAATATGGAATTATGTGCGTGTGTTGTTATAGGTTATGATAATGGTTTGTAAACAATATGCCGTAACAGATATTTTGAACTAAGTCGAATGGTGAGGGATACATTTTTCCGCAGGTTGAGATGTCTCATAAAATAATAAAAGTCAAGACTGATAATCTCAAACATACCTTTTTTGAAAGAGAACGTACAAAAATAATGACTCTGTCAACCTCCCAAGAATAAATCCACCTTACTTGTCAGAGGACAATTGTACCTTTCTTTATCTTTTCTACAAATCCACCCTACAAACATAATGACTGGCCCTGGGGCCACATGTCCTCATCGTGCAATAAAGAGGAGGGGCGGTACGCCATTTTACTACATTTCAGGAATGTCAGTTTGTGGTTTCTGGAGTTCGGCTGAAATAAAAGGAGAGCGATTCGTCATTTGTTCAGTTTTCAGTGGCGGTATTTACCTTCTCACCACACTAAATCTAGCCACCCAACGCTAGAGGGAGTACTATTCGTCATTTTCTCTTTTTTTCACCTTTTTTCTGACTTACCAGCAGAACAAACAATCTTATCTGAATAACAAAAGAGCATCCATTATTTTCCCAAGCGGGGTTGGCATATTCAATAATAAAACTGCCGGGGCAGGGAGGCCTCGTATAAACGGGCACAGGCATGAATAGACTGTTTACACATTGTGAATGACTTCTTTTTCTTTATTTGAATAGAAATCGAGCCTGGTTGATCGATTAGTTTGAATCGATGTCCGCTAAGCAAACGAAAGCCGATCAATCGACAGGTATTATACAGGAGATATTTAGGAAGTCTTTAAGTCCTCCGTAGTAAGGGATCCAGTGAACGCGAGGAGAGCGGAGCTGAGGCAGAGTGAGTCAGTCGACAGCGGGGGAAGTTAGCTGGCGTCACGACAACTTTGAAGGCTTTGTCAGTCTTTGTCAAGTTACTCAGTGTGAGATGTGATATGTGTAGATCGCTTTGATGCCGCGGTGATTCTTGTGTTTTAATAGAAGTCAAAGAAAGTGACCGCCATCAAGAAGGCCACAACACCAGAAGTGACTGTCCCGAGGCATTAAGAGGAAAGATTTAAAATGGTCTTCTCGTTTTTCGTCACATTTGTTGCTGTTGTTGGACACTTTACTATCGGCACAGAGGGGGTTCCTGGCGTCATCAAGAGAGGTAAGAAAAATTGAAGTGAAAATGAAGGTAGTGTGTTTACTAAAGAGCTTATTTCGAGCGCACACATAGACCTACCCTTACTTTATATCGGTTTATATCAGAACCAGCCGGGATCAGCGATTTAGACGACTGACGGTGAACAGATCCTCGTCTTAAAGACGTATATGTTTCCAGACTTAACTGTACAGTGTAACGTATATCAAAGCCTACTTCCATAGTTTACCGGATAAGAAACCTTAAGACCCCATAGTCTTGTCGCTAAGCATTTAACATCCTATGTATTCCATTTCAATATTTTATTCTTAACACACACACTTAAGAGGAAACCCTATAGATAGAGAAGAAACCGTGGAGCGACGCCAGTGATGTGAAGTGGGATATGGGTTTAATTGAAAGGGTTTTTTTTATTAACACTCATCTCCGGGAGTTTTTTTTAGTAAAGTCTTATGGCGTATGTCTTGAGAGCATGGAAGGCAGAGAACCACCAGTCATCACCCTGTAAACATAACATGTGCTGCCTTTTGTGATAGCTATAACCCCAAAACGAAATATTTACTGAACATATACTATCAAGAATGCTATACAGTTAGGGCGCCTACGGAAATACCTATACCTCGAAGTCCGGAAACGAAAGATTTACTGTTCTTCGAGATAATAAAAATGGGTCTGCACTTGAGAAATGTGTGGTTATTTTTGATCAATATATGTGAACCTTGTGGTGTAAGCTGCTGCCTTGATGAAAGCGTTCTGGAATGAACCACTTGGCGGCTACCATGTTGTGGTATGTCTTTGGTTGTAATCTCCAGCCTCGCGTCTCCTATCGTGATATCACCCAGTTCGCTAACAGTTCGTGTTTGAATTATTGATCACGTTCTCCAGAGTGAAGTAAATCATTCAGGTGTATATATATATATCGTGCAGATGCCTGGACTAATAACTTGAGGTGTAAAGGTTTGGATAGCAAGCAGGAAATATTAATGATAACACAGCAGATAGGGAAAGGAAAACATCACAAGTGGCTGCGCCAAGTGGAGCTCTGAGAATCAAGATATTGCTATGTGGAATATTTAGCACGACCGGGTGCTGTGTTCAATATTTCCTTGACCCATTGCGAGGAACTTGTGGAACGCCGTTCTTTGTACACTTTACACTGGCGTCACATTAAGTTAGGCCCTAAATATGTTAACATCTCACAACGTCATTGCGCTCCTCCCGTACATAATAACTGAAACCGTGTTAAGATTAACGACCACAGAGAGACGCGGGGGGAGCGTCACCCAGGCACAGTCGTAATCATGGCTTTACGGCAGATCTTCCCTGACCCGTAGTTTGTTGCACTTGTTATATTGCACTTTGCCCCTTTCTTTGTGTTTTATGTACAACCCCTTAAATTTAGCATAAGGAAGTATTACAAACAGTTACTCTACACGGTAAATAAAGCAACAATGCAATTTATTTTCTTTCACCTGTGAAACGTTTGCGCTCGACTTAAATAATGCCAGAGCAGGTACTATTGTTTATTGCGTCACGCCGTTAATAAAAATACCACGGGTTTTCATTTTCTCTCTGTCGCCCGTTTACCTGCGCTTAAAGAACGCGTGAGACAAACCTTTCTGGTGATCATTAATCAAAACATACTTTGCCCATTATTACTTAATCAGGTGTATAATAAACTACTCAATTACAAAATGCTATATTCGAGGCAAATTTTTAGGAGGTCCCCAGGTAGAAAAAAAACAGCACTTATTTCAACTATACTTCTATGCTTTAAATGACTGCAAGCTTAATGTGTTTTAAAAAAGCTCTCTTCGTTTGGGTGATAACTATTTCAAATATAAATCTATTGCTTTGAAATTTAAGACGTCACTAGAAAATAAAGCAATATCGTTTCCCGTTATCTTTCCACTACAGCTACGGGATGAGACTATAGTTTTACTCTTCCTCTTGCAGATAACACTCACTAATGAAAAATGTATATTTTATCAATTTCTATTTTTCCTTTCAGCTATTTGCGCCGAGGCAAGTTACACACTGCGCTGTACAGAAACACCAAGCCAAGTCATAGCCATTATAGAGGCCTCGTATGGTTTCCGTGACAACGAGGCGTGTAGAAACTGTATGACCCGGGCTCAGCCCAATGTTGTCAAGGCACAGTGCCAGAGGGGGTGCCAGGGCGCCACGCCCGAAGAGGCCTTCGCTAAGCTAGACTCGCTGTGCACGGGGCGCCAAAGCTGCATCATAGAACCGTCGTCTGCGCGACTCTTCCAACAGAATTACAACTGCAAGATGGCTGCTTTCATTGACAGCCTTTTGGAATTTTCATACAGGTGTATTAATATAAAATCGGAGTCGCTCTGGAGGGCGATACAATCTGGTAACATCAGTACGAATACTGCCGGGGAACCCAAGGTGCCATGTAAGTATGTTTGAAAAGTCTGGGGTGCAAAATATCCCAATAAACAGAAAGTGTTCATTTAGTCTGAAGCTACGGCGGCAGATGTGCGGACGATTCGTTTTTGCACGATTTTGTAGATTTTAGGCATCTTCTTGGTCGTTTGAAAGCTTTTTTTCTAATAAAAATTATCCTGTGCGTTATGTTAACGCGAAGCAATACACCACCGTCGTGTAAGTGTTATGTCCTTATTTCTCAAAATATTGATATCACCGACAAGCAACCCATCCAATATTCGACCGACACTAATTACATTAAACTTTCATTCGGATTGACGCTGCATAAACAAAGCTTTTTTTTCCCGAAAGATTATCGGATCAAAATCTATTCAGCAGTAATATCTAGCAAAATGATATGTTAAAGCTCATTGATGATGTCAAAAGCGATTCTCCCATAATAAACAACAAACCCGTCACAGGTCTCTTCTATGCGGACGATCTTGTACTGCTGTCAACTAGTGCCTCTGGTTTACAGTACAGTCTTAACCGTATTGAAGCTTACTGTTTTACATGGAGACTCTCTATAAATCTTTCAAAAACAAAAATTATTATCTTCAATAGCAAGGGAAAGGTACAGAACAACCAGGTGCAGTGCAAAGAAAAATTTTTTCTCTATAACAGTCAGTTAACAATAGTTCCCAGTTACATGTACCTTGGTATTCTCTTTACAAGATCAGGTAATTTCACAGCTGCTCAACTGAACTTATAGGAAAGGGCACAGAAAGCGCTCTTTAGTCTGAAAAGTTATATGCCACTCTGTAGTAGTATATCGTCCTCACTTAAAGAAAAATTATTTGACACTATGATCATACCGGTGGCTACATATGCTGTTGAAGTCTGGGGCTCCTCTAGAATCACCGACAAATCTCCGGTAGAAAAAATCCACTTACGCTTTTGTAAAGAACTCCTAGGTGTACATTCTAAAAGTACAAACCAAGCTGTCAGAGGAGAACTCGGTAGGCTACCAGTGTCCTTTAAAATCCAAACACAACTTATAAAATTTTGGCAAAAAATATTAAACTCGGAAGATAATAGTTTGTTGAAACAGGCCTACCTAGATGAAATAGAAAATTACAAACTTTTAAACACATCCAACCTTACAGAGATAAAGCAGGAAAACATGTCATGGTGCGAAGGTGTGAGACAAATACTTTTTGAGAATGGCTTTGGTGATGTGTGGCTAGGCCAAAGATATGATAAAAACTTTATCCAGCGGTTTAGGGAAAGAATCAGGGACAGAATAACACAAGAATGGCAGAGAGACATAACTAACACCAAGTCCAAATTACAAGTTTATTGTCAATACAAGAACAAATGTGTGAAGGAAAGATACTTAGATACAATTAAAGATAGAGATAAATGCACCACTTTAACCAGATTCCGCATAAGTGCACACAACCTAGGTATTGAAACAGGTAGACATGA